ATAATAGAAAGAGAGGCAATTTTTAGATTAATATATGTAACATCTAATATTAATTTTACGTACATTGACAAATAAATATTTATATTTCCATGTATATAACTATAGGTAAATGTGCGTTATGTGATCTAAATTGCACTTTACAGTGGCGGAGCAAGAGTCGCTATTTAATTAAATAATTCGGACCCTATGGGCCGGCTCGACTCAACCTGGTCATAAGCAATTATTTCGTTGCATTTCACCGAATGAGTTGGGTTACCGCAAGTCTAATCACCTAGCCCACTCAATAGTCGTTTACTGGTAGGTGACCCGTCAGCTTATTTGCCCCCTACTTCACAATAAAATGTAAATAGAAGCTTATTTTATCATGTGAGTTTCGGGTGTTTCTCTTGTCGAGTTATGCTAAGTAGAAGAATAATTGTTGTACTACGACATTGTGAAAAACATGAGAATAAAATGCTATTTATATTTCATTTAGAGAAGTATAACAGAACTAAACGTGTAAAGGTAAAATAAAATGGTGAAGGCTGAAAACAAAGTAGTTGTCGCAAAACACGTTCCTAGCTGGCGCGTTATAACGGCACGCTACTCATAAACTACGTTCCTGCAAAATTTCATATTCATAGATCAAGTAGTGTTCCAGATTTGATTAGTCAGCAGATGAGAGAGTGAGTAAGTCTTATATTCTTTCAGTTTCGTAAATATAAAGAGTGGCGTTACAGAATGGTAGTAAGAGTCATATTATAAATATAAAACATTCAACAGTTTTAGAAAAACTAGTTATTTTCCTTTTTACCCAAATGCCAAGCGAAGGTCATGTTTTTTGCAAATATCTTAGATTATTTTTGTTTGTAGATTTCTTTATTTTCTTACATCTGATACACAATGTCATCTGGTTTCAAACTAAGCAGAGCTCGTACTATAAAAGCTATATTGACTGATAGAATACTTACATACTTTTTTTGTCAAGACACACATATTCACGACGACATATATGGGGACGTGGTTGAACCAAGAAAACCATTTCCAAATTAAAATATAATGTTATTCATTTATTAGGCCCTTTTTAAAGCACATAACGATTCTTAAATGTGACTTTTTCATTTATATATTTAATTTATCTCCGTTATTCAGCTGTAACAATTAGACATATGTATGTATAGTAACATAATTTAAACATGAAAATTAAAGGCGCAACGCATAAATTTCTAAATAATTTCAATGGCATAATCTTTTTTTTTAAATGAGCATATTTATATAGGTACCAAAAACTATTCAGTTGATTTACTGTACTAATTCCTTTATGAATGCGGTTTGCTTCTCATAGTTGGTAAAACAAAAAGGCCTATTTCCGTTCGAACGGTGTCGCATCCATATGGGCCAATAAAACCGGATGGTGTACGCTGCTCTCATCTCGCCATATCTAAAGTCTAAACCTACTAAACGATATTATAAAAGGAAGGATTAAAAATAGGTAATTATAGAAGTCTAGAATTTTCCATGCACCGAAACTTAGCATCAGGTAAATATTACGTTCGGTATGGCACAAAGTGCTATAGAATACTCTGACATATTTAACCATAAAATTACATTAAAAATTAAATAATTCAAATTTAGATTAGCAGGGTCTAAATGTTATATCATAAATATAAAAAATATATATTAGGGATGGACAAACCTGATTGAACTACCAAAGATAGAGGTTTTTTTTATCTCATTGAGATGACAAACAAAACATGAACATCACTGTGCTTTGGCGATAAAAATGATAAGCAGTTGCTTACATCACAGGTTTGTTTTTGTATAAATTGACATCAAAGATGGAAGGATCCTTGACCTTCAGGAGTTAGAAAATAATTATTTCAAAAATCTTATCATATATTGACGATGTTTTATTCTTTCAAGATATTTGTTAGGTGTATGTGCACAAGAGAGTAATAAATGAGATAACAAAACATTTAGACAAAAAAAAAATGTTTGTTACGCCATTATTTTCATGTTTGTTACCTCAAAACTCATTCATTTGTAAACCGATTTGTAAAATTATTTTTTATTTTAAAATTCATTTGTTATCAACCCTTTCGATTACAAAAAGAATTTCAAAAATCGGTCCACAATTGACGGATATATCATATAACAAACATACAAAAAAAATACAGATAATTGATAACATCCTCTATTGTGTTTTTGAAGTCGGTTAAAAAACACGGGCATTTTAAACGAACTGTACTTTAAAGATTTTATTCTTGGATGTAGGATCAATACAGACTCTATTAAAGTACTAGTTTCTAATTTAATTCAAGAATTTCTAGAGTTTTGTAACTATCAAAACTATCTCTTAAACTTACGTGAATAGAATTATAATTTGTATCACAAAATTATATTGTAAGTCAGAAAATTTATGAAGATGTTTGCTACCCTTATCATTCTACGAATTCGAATGAAATTTGTGTTAAAAAAGTCCCGAGATCCAAGCGCGCCAACATTTTACTTACTACTACTCCCTATCTTTATTGAACGATGCTCATAAATATTCTACATCAATGACTAGAAAGCATTTAGGTTTCTCAAACATAAATAATTTATTATTTCTTTGAAACATGTTGCTCCTTATACAAAAAACTAACCTTGTGATAAACACTGGCACGAAACAGGTAGAAAATCGTTTACTTTGCGACAAACCGCTGTGGTCCAGCAATTTCTAACCGAGACATATTCTACGAAATATTTACGTATATCCTTAACACCCAACTGCGAACAAAAAAGGTCCCTTCCTTGAATTAATATTATCTATGAATGGGTCAAGGGAATCAATAGTCTTCTTTTAAAACGACCGACTTTCTTACTGAGAAATTTGTAGAAGTCGTTGTAGATTAATAATGAATCTCGCTTTCTGTCTCAAAAGTCGTTTTTTTGTATCACTGTGATTTTCAACTTCGTACTAACAACATCCTTGGGAATTTGTCATATATATTACGTCGACGCTCTTGTCAATCGGTAAAGATAAACAATATCAAACTATTGATTGAAATTTTATTCTTATCTGCACTTCGAGTATTTGTGTTTTGTTGCTCCTAAATCTTACAAATGATTATAATCGATAATTTCGTTAAAATTATTTTATGATTATTTAATTTTATTATCTTTACATGATATTATTATTTAATATACAAATGTGTTAATTTGTTTATTGACCTTTAATCTATCATTGGTTGCCCACGATCAGGCCCACACGTAGAGATAAAAAATAATAATCATCATTATAGATGAAAATATTAATTTAAATATAGGTACTAAATAAATTTAGTCCTTTCCTAAATACGACAAGAAAGTTGTCGAGGTATAAATTAAGTAAATAATGCAGATGCAGTAACTTCAATTGTATTTTAACCTACATGAAGTCTGTATTCGAGTTTGGAAAAAGTAAGTTTGCACGAAGCCAGGAGAGACAAGACTGAGTTAGGAGCACAGAATTGCGCGGCAATCCTAATATATTTTCAGGAAATACTTCAAGCCACTTTTAGATCCCTTCTGATATAAGACCTATTCACCTGAAAAAATGTATACCTAGGTCGTAAATCGCAAGCAATAGGATTGTCATATATGACGAAGACGTAGTTGAATTTGACGCGAAATTCCGATTTCTTTTTGTTTGACAAAGAGCTTGTCCTTACTCCTTACACACAGATTTATGTTTTTTGATCTGAATTATTTTACAAGAAGAGGTTAACAGCAATTAAATAAATACAAAAAAGGTTCACCTATTATCATCATCATCATCAACAGCCTATACTAGTCCACTGCTGGACATAGGCCTCTCCTCAGAAAGGAGGTTTTGGCCTACTATACCACGCTGGCTAGACGGGTTATAATAAGATCATATTTAAGATAATTAGATACATGTATGGCATTTAGACATGCATAAATAAATCAGTCATTTTTCCTTTTTTTAATATAAGTTAAAGTCTGAAATTGTCATTACTTTGAATTGACATAAAACCTTCATGGTGTCGGCTTTTTGGGTAAATTTTTTTTCACATGTGTATCATGTGAAAAAAATTTGGTTCTTCTTTTAAAAAACGGACTACCTTTTTTCGTGATTTTGTCAATTTTCTACGTATTAAAAAAAAACTTCCCAGGAGGCAGTACAAAATGCTTTCACACAGTTTATCGAATCTAGATTCTCAGAGTTCTATCGGAAAATCATAAATGAACTTCTGTTTAGATGGCAGCAATGGACAGATAATGAGGGTAAATATTTTAATTAAATAAATATGTCAATAATCTTAGAAAAAAACGAGTTTCAATTTTTCAGTACAAATCGGCAATTTCATACTTTAACCCCTGATATATATCCCTACTTCGATGATGGTGATGATATTACTTATTATACTTTAATATGATAAATGCAAAAGTAAGTCTGTCACTCTTTCACGTCTAAATTGCTCTACCCATTTTAATTAAACTTGGCATGGAGATACTTTGATTGTTGAGAAAGGATATAGGCATTACTTTTTACAGCGATAACTGGCATACACGGGAGTTTGTTTGCCCTTTCTACTCATAAGGCTCAACCCCTTGAAACGGCGGTTGTAAATCGGCACAGGCAAATCATAGATTTTGTATAACTTGAATTTTTATGAAATTAATTATGCTTACTATTTGACAAAACAGAGATCATTGCTATTGTGTTCGTTGATCTATGACTTTGGAGTTTACATAAAAGATGATTTCAAATAATTTAATTTTTTTTATGAATTAAGAGACTGAGTTTGATATAAAAGTGCTATGGAACTGCATTTCGGAGCTTTTTAGGGAAGATAAATCCTTATCGCATTATCATTATACACGATCATTAGATATCAATGAAATTGCGCTCGCGCATATATTTAGCCATATTGTAGACATACGTTTCCTCAGTCGCACTTCGATCGCCGTGCGAGACGCACGTCTGTCGCGAAATAACATTGTTCGAATAACGTGGTACGACCGCGTGCCTAACCATGGTGAGTGATCAGTGTTTAACTTTGCGTGCAATTGCAATTAATAAACGTGTTTTATCACTACTCATATTATCATTGAAATCTTTTATACGTTTTACACGGAAATATGGTGTTTTAAAAATTAACTTCGGAAATTCTTGAAGAAAAATTCGTAAGTAGAAAACATACGAAGGAAATTTTAGGAAAACTTTTTTATTATATGTGAAAACTTAAAACGATTACATCATTGAGGTTTATAACAAAATTTTATACAAAGGAATAGGTATTTACATTGATCTTAAAAGTAATTAGGAATACTGTTATCAATCACGATATGCTTTACATTTATTTTAAAATTTAGAACATATGGTAATCGTGAAATCTGTTTTTTATAAGTGAACATGTGACAAAAAAAAATCGTGTAGTTACACCTATGTAACCAAACGCTACACAAATAAAAAAAAAAATCTTTTTGTCGCCAACATTCAACACAAAAGTAATGATTGCAGAAAATAGGTATACCATAAGTTGTATACAAAATACTCTATTTCGTCGTAAAACTTGACAATTGGCACACACTCTAATATTATCTTCCACTAAGATTTGTAACATCTAGTCTAGGCCCAAACTATAGAACATTAGCAAAGTTCAAGGAATGTGTAAGGAATACACTCTGATTAATTATTTTTTTACATAACATAAACTATTTGCATTTCAATGACCTTAAAATTGCTTAATTTGTATACCTTATATTAGTGAGAGTTAGTTAGAGTAAAAGTTATTTAATATATGTTTATAACATAGCAGTATGTACCAGTACACCCTTAGTTTAAAATTCCATGAGTTTAGAATTTCAAACTTGTATCTTTCGGTGAGTGAGTCGGTGACAGAATGATGATACTTTGACTTGCATTAGTTCTTAAATTACTAGTAAGTGACATTAATTAGGGAGTAAACTTAGTCATAATATCTCTCTCAATCACTACACATTCAGCTTTTTCATAATAGATAGATCGACTTGTGTGTGTGTGTTCTTTTATTTTGAATTTTACGAGGCTTTTCGTGCCACCAGATTATGCCCTCTTAGTTAGTTAGGAGTCAAAAATGTCCTGAATGTGTTTAAGAAAAGGATGGTAATGGAGTGACTTTGTTTTTTGCTCGACTTATAATAAAAAAAAATATTTCATGCCTCCCACCGTACCGACACGCCACTTCTATGTAAAATTTCATAATGATGAAATTTATATTATTATGGATCGTAGATTAGACCATAGGGTACCCATCATTCTGAATTAAAAATGTTCTCGAGATACAAAAAAATATTTGGTTGCGAGCAAAGCCATGGGAATAGCAAGTCCTTTATAATAAAGACTGTATTTAAATAAATTATCAATTAAGGAAATTTCGTGTTCAAATAATGAGTGTTCCAATAATAAATTTACATATTTTATAACGTGTATGTAAAACAAAACGTGATTTTGTTCAGCCTTCAAAATAATTATTACAGCACTGGGATAATGATGTGTTTGATTGTTAGGATCGACAGTTGAATTAAACTTCAGCTAATATCTATCTACAAGATATAAACAATAAATATTATGATAAATAAATAAATACTTTAAATACAAATAAGTATCGTAATAATACTTAAACATCAAAAGAGCTGTTACATCATAATCTGCTTTTATACACTACCGAGTCGGTAGGAGACAGGTAACCGTATTTAGGTTAATCTTATGTTTGTAAAAAAGATTACTCTTTTTTCAAGATTACTCAGAAACTAATGCAGTATATCGCCCATTGTTAACAATGTATCAATGAATATAATGAACACATCACTTACCGTTGAATTGCCACAAAAGAGGGCCCTTATCCAAAGACTCCGTCATTTGAACTAGGTCATTTAGGAAGAGACAAAACACTCATAAACCCTTTCAGAAATTATTAGAAAGTTATCTATGTATATATAAGATTTGGTTACGGATACGAGTTAACCGCACCTCTAACGATTGGTAAATTGTAGTCGCGATATGATAAATAGACATAAATACGAGTAGATGAAAATTATTGTTTTTTTTTTTGGTAAAGACGACATATAATAAAACATTTGAAAATCCTTGAGGTAATTTGGGCTCCGATAACCTCATTCACTCGGTAAAAAGCAAAGAAAAAATTGTTTAGCAAAGGTTTTCTGTGACACCGTCGTATCATTCCATTCGAGTCGGTTCGGTCATTTGTGCCGAAGAATTTATCTTCCTAATTTGCTCAAACTTTGTTTGTAATAATTATAAAAGGTTATCTTTTTATCAAAATTAGCATTAGGCACTTCACCTCTGATCTTTAGTCTTTTAAAAAAAGATAATTTTATTTGCACCAAATTTAAAGTTAGATTAAACACAAGTGTGACCGTACACGTTTTCATATTATGTAAGCCTCAAAATTAATAGATATAGACATAGATTACACGCATATTTAATTTTGATACATCACTTAGTACGGATAGTCAGTCAGACCAGGCGATTTACATACTAACATAGTAATTATTATATTACATTTGCTTGTAGTACAGCACAGACAAGACAATAGTTAGCCACAAGTTGATTACAATTCATGCCTAAAATTCACCTTTTTCCAAGATGAAACCGCACTTGAGGCGTAAGAGAAACATTTTATATAGATAAGTGAACTCTTTTTACCAAATCACTCGTAACTTTTTATAACTCTATATAATATCAATTGTGAAATAGTAAATTGCATAAAAGGCCATATATTGTAAAATATATTTTGCAAATATCTCGTAAACAATATATTTTTTGCAAGTTGACAATCACTGTTTATATGATCTGTCATCGTCTGATTTTGTAATGCGATGCCATTAATATGTATGACTAGAACCTTGTAAAATGTAATTGAATTACACGTGTAAAATTAATTATTGGATAATCCATAAAATACAAAACCACAGTCATATGCATTTTAATTTGTTATGTGGATTTGTAACTTAAAATTTAAACAATGGATTAAATGTGCCTTAGAGTGATCTAGAATTTTCAAGAGTAAATCGAATAGATTGCTTTTAGATAAATATCATTTTAGATAAAAAAATATGTTCTTATCGTGTGTCTGTAGCAGTTTTATCACGAGAAAACATCTGATTAAAATCTTAAACCTGTTTTTATTCCGTGTTATTTAAATAATTGATGGTTAATTACAAATAGCAGACAAAGAATTTAGCACTGGTTTTCAATTGAGAATAGAAGAAGAAGTTGGTGCTGGTAGATGTCTGCTATGTGTAATTAAAAAAAGGGAGAGATAGAGAGTCTTGCAATAAAGTATTTGAAAAACACGAATTAAAAACAAGTTTAAGATTTTAACCAACTATTTTCAAGTTATAAAACCGCTACAGTCACATACGATAACAACATGTTTTTCATCTGAAATGGTATTGATCAAAAAGAATTCTCTTCGACCTACTCTAAAAATTATAGATCTGTATTTGTCTCAAACCATAAAGAAGCTCTGTTGTTCGAATTTTGGTTGTCTGATTGAGGAATGGTTTTTTTTAATGGAAGAATGAGCAGACGAACAGACGGGTCACCTGATGGAAAGTGACTACTGCCGCCCATGAACGCCTGCTACTCAGGAGTCACAAACGCGTGGCCTTTACTATGGAGTCCGCTGTTTTCTTGAAAGTTTGAAGGTCACATTGATCCGGAAATACCGCAGACTATAACTTGTTCCACAGATTAGTTGTTCGAGGCACAAAGTGTGGTGTACTTAAACCAGTTACACTCCAATCATACCAAAATACAGCTTCCAAGTAACCAATTACACCAACACAAGCAAAAATTATTTTAAACGCTATCTGTACCAAATAACCAGACTGTACTGAACGCTTAATCACATAAAATCATCCCTTTAAAAACTGGTCAAACTTTTAATTTAAGCTGCTGACTGCCCTGTGCCATTATTACTATTATTATTATCAACAGCCTCTAATATTTCACTGTTTAGATAGGAGGTGTTGGCCTACTGGCCAGACGGGTTGGTATAGGGTTTGTACCAAGTTCTCCTTCTCTTGCAGTGCTGTTTTCCTGCGGAGTTTGCTTCCTTAATCGATTCTTACGACAGCCACGGGGGTGGTGGCACTCAACTGTGAAAAGATTTAAAAAAAAGGTGCCTTGAAAAGAGATGGGTGTTAATGTCTTGAAAAAAATGAATTCCTTCACTTCCATCACTTTTCAGGGAACCTTTGCTTCAAAATAGATGAAAGATAAACGTTCATACAATAATGATTCTAATTTTATAAAATAGTTTGATGTTTTGGCTTCGCCATGTGCCGTACATGCAGTGTACGGCACCATACTAATAGTCACAGAATAGGAGCACTGTGCTATAAATACTATCCGTCTCTTGGTTTCCAAGCTATATATAATTGTAAAGCCATCCCGATTGATAGTCTAGCCCTATACTTTCGATCGCTTCATCACGAGAATTGTACGTGCACAGGTAAAAAAAAAGAATTCTCTTTGACATTGAAACAAACTGTAGGTGAACATTCAAAGAGCGGAATTTTATCCGAAAAATATTTTGTTTACATGTATAACATCCACATATTTTGTTTACAACACACAGTTCCGAATCAAAGGAAAAGATATATAAATTTATTATTGCATGTTTCAAGACAACATATTAACAACAACAACACATTATTATTATTATTTGTCAACATATTTTAGGTTCTATATAATATTTGAACTGGTCTTGAATAATTATTAAATCTGAACGGAATAAACAATGACATAGTTGTATAACTTGGTAATAATAATGAGTGTCGCTTGATTACGTTAAATGCATAAAAAATGTGCCCCGTCACAATTACCCATATATTATAAAATCATCACTAGCTGGGTTAATATTTATGTCACTAGACAGTACTATGGCAAAGGGTAGCTTGAAAGATCAGATACTCAGTTTCTAACCCCAACGTTAGAACCTGATGATAGTTTTAATTCAAATAGATT